AATTTTCTTTTTGTCTGAAAGTTCTCTCTGTCTTAGTTTTCTGTCAGATGTGGGATGTAAGGAGGCCTCCAGCAACATAATAATGATCTGCTGACCAGGTGGTGCTCCACAGGGCCCATTGTACTCACTGCTCTCTGATGCAGTTGGAAGCCGAGGGTGAGCTCCCTCCCACAGCAGGTGCCACTGGTTGCCGTGTTGGGCTCGCTCACCTTTATTGAGCATCTATTTAGAGATGTCCAATATTGCATTGGGTTGCATCCAAAACGTACCTTGACTGGGCCCAGTTCTGGGGCCTTGAAAGCTCCAGGCTTTAATTCATCCGCTAGAGTAAATTCACCAGATAAAAAAAAGTTTGTTCCTGTGTTCATCAGCTGATGAAAACCAGACCTTTCATGATCTAGAACCTGGAGACTGAGTAGGAAAGAACACACTGAAAAGAAAACCTGATGTTTAAAACCGCTGTAACAGAGCCACCGGTCTGGCCTAGTGCCCGTATAGCATACATAATGCTTTGGGGTTGGGACTTAGCATCGCAGGGGGAAAAAAAAAAACACTTGAAGGGGCCAAATTGAGTTCTTCTTACCACTCACACTGCAGCAAAACTTCAGGACCATAAGTCCTGGGCTCTATCCACCCAAGAGGCACATGAAGACACTCAGTACTGACGTGCATTGAATACCTCAAGGTGATAATAAACCAAGAGTTTATTTTTTTCCCCAGGAGCAGAAGATATCCTAGATCTGAATCACTCACCCACTTCTTTCCAGGGCCCTCATGAAACAATTGCCCCCTTTCCTCTCAGCTTGTACCTGTTTCTATGTGGCAGGCTGGTGCTGTGCTTGAGGTTTCACACTCACACCCCCAACAAGAAGCATGACTGAATACAACCCAAAGACCCTCCTGGATTTCACGACCTTCTAGTTCCCTCCACGACAGTGTTTGCTGATGCGGCAAGTGCATCTGCTTGTGGAATCGCAGCTTAACTTTCCCCAAAGAATTTCACTTTCATATTTACAATCCACTGTTTAAATCTAATAACAAACAAAACGATTTTCAATAAGATATTTCTAGAAACTAAAAAGAAAACAAAGAGAAATAATGTAACAGCATCACAAATCCCCTATCTGTGAATAGCTTCCCACCTGCAATGATTTGATAATGAAATATTGTATGAAAATCCCTACTGATTCTTTGCTGGTAACCTATGACACAGAAGATACACCATGGGGAACAGTCTGTTGGGAACCTTTGAAATGAGTGGTTTTATTTGAAAAAAATTAATAATCCACTGTTCCAAATTATTATCTCTGTGTCTCAATAAATAGGAAGAAAGAAACCAGTATGAATTTGGGATTCTAAAAGCATGACCATCACTCAAAAGCTGAACACCTATTACTTTTCACTATAGAAGACAGAGGGGTTAGCTAACAGATACAAGTCTCCTTATGTGGACATTTTTTTGGAGAAAAGCTTTCCTCTCTTGGCATCAATGTAAACTGGGTCATGAAGAATGTTAGTTTCCTGCAGGAAACCTTATGGAAGAAGAGGGAGATAGAAAGACCTGGAGGGGACAGGGACTCTACAAGGAGACCAACAGAGCCAAAAACCTGGTCCCAGGGGGTCCTGCAGAGACCAATACTCCAACCAAGGACCTAGACCTCCTGCTCAGAGGAAGCCCAAAGGTTACTCTGTTTCCAAGTGGGTGCCCTAGTAAGGGGTACAGGGGCTATACTGACATGAACTTAGTGGCTGCCTCTTCGATCACCTCCCCCTGGGAGGTGCAGCCTTGCCAGGCCACAAAGGAAGATGATACAGCCAAGACTTGATAGGCTAGGTCAGATAGAAGGGGAGGATATTCTCCCTTATCAGTGGACTAGGGAAGGGCCATAGGGGGAGAAATAAAGGGTGGGTGGGGCTGGGAGGAGATGAGGGAGGGGGCTACAGCCAGAATACAAAGTAAATAAACTGTAATAAATAAATTTTAAAAAAAATTTATTGCAATACAAAAATAAAAAAGAAAAGAATGTTAGTTTCCATGGCTCTCTGTATTGCAAAGATTACACCTGTCCAAAGAACAGTTGTGAATTCTCTTGCTGAAATTGTTTTAGGTAACAGAGTTGTCCAGGACTACCAAGGGTCAGGAAGCCCTGAGTTGAAACAGGACATCACTGGTAGTCATAGTGAGAACTGGCAATGGGCTGGCATTTTTGAGTGAATCCCAGAATCACTCAGAGGGCTCTTATGCAGGTTTTGGCAACCATGCTCAAGGGCTATCTAGAACACAACATGCTCATGTCAATGGCACATCTTGTTGAAACACAGCCACTCTTATTTGATCATAAATGGCATATAGCTGCATTCTCTATGAGGTCAGCTTAGGGAGATGAGAAGGACACATTGCAGGATCACAAAGGACATGGAGATGACTATGTTAATGTTGGCAGACTCTGCTGGGCCATAGCCTGAGGTGGAGCAGGCTCACTAGTTCACTAGTTTTTGGAAAGTATCGCAGTTCATAATGCAAGTAGACATGGACCCTGTGCTATGGGTCTAAAGCCTTTCTAGGCTTATTTTGCAAATTCTTATGTTTCAGTGATCACAGATACTTGGTAGTATTGGATCATGCTGCTGAGGCCTTCCATCCTTGGTGTTGCCTCAGATACTCTCTCAAAGTTCTTATGGCTATAGAAAGCTTCTCCTTCATTATGGAATCACAAGGTCCCTAAGCAACTGGTGACAATTCAAGAACTGTGTTGTCAGTAATAGAGATGACTCAGTAGTTAAGAGCACTGGCTGCTCTTCTAGAGGACCTGAGTTCAATTCCAAGCACCCACATGATGTTCATGATCATCTATAACTCCAGTCCCAGCGGATTCGAAGCCCCTTTCTGGCTTCCCTGTGCATACAGAGTGGTATACAGATGTACATGCAGCCAAAACCCATATGCATAAAAATAAATGTAGTAAAACAAAAAACAACAATAAAAAGAGCAACAACAATAAAATGAGTCATGTGTGATGTCGTGGTGCCCTGAGTTCCTTGTAATGAAGAAGACTCCATTGGAGATGGAGATACACAAAGGTTAGCCAGAATGCTGTTGCTTTGACAAAGTAACTAAGAAAACTGACTTAAAGGAGGAAAACATTTTTGGGGGCTCAGAGTTTTGAAGATTTCAGTCTATGGTTTGTTGGTTTGATGTTTTTGGCTTTGATGAGGTAGTACATCATGGCAGGAGTGTGTATCTAAACAATGCCTCTAAACTCAGAGGAAGTTGGGGCACAAAAAAGAAAACAAAAGGCTGATGTCCAGATATCTTTTACAAGTAAGTATCCCCATGATACAGTTGTTGTCAATAGGTTCTACCTCTTCAAGTTTCTACTACTCCCTCAACTAAGCCTGGGACAAGCAAGACAGAACAGGTGCTGGTCTGTATACTGGCCCAAAGAGCTGAGCCAAGTCCATGTCCATATGTTCATCCTGGAATCAAACCTGCTGCCATGGTTGGGCAATGGGTTCTACCAGGATATGCCCAATACCTACCTGATGGTCCATGATGGACTCAGGACTGTGGTTCTGCTGGGGCCATGGTACAGTTTAGATCATGAGAAACAGCTTAGAAATTAGAGATAGTTCGTAGCCTAGATCACTAGGGCCAACATGGTTGGCATAGTAGGCCAGTTCTCCCAGGGATATCTAGACTATATATCCAATAAAAACCACAATACTCAGGGTGGGGCTAGAGTCCCAGACTGTGGGCCATCTTGATAGAGATTGCTGTGGTGTATTTCTGGCTCTACTTGGGAGTCACCAAGGCAAATCTAGTGTTGGCATCCAAAGCAGAATCTAGTCTTCTCTCACCATCAGAGAGAATGTCTCTGTTTCTTACAGTTGGAGATAAGAGTGATGTAAAACTATTAGAGCACAGTCCTGTAAGCTCAGTACTCAAGGAGGCAGAAGCAGGCAGATCTCTGTGAGTTTGAGGCCAGCCTGGTTTACAAAGCCAGTCCATGACAGCCAAGCCTACATGGAGAAACCCTATCTCAATAAAACAAAAACAAACAAACAAGAGTGATGTAAACTATCCTTCCTGGTCAGTGTGTCTCCTTTTATTTCTGTGCTTACCCCTGGTGCTGAAATCTCACCTGACTTCTGATAGTTTGTGAGGATATTTTCACATGCAAAGTTGCTAAAATTGAGTTTCCTGTAGATGAGTATCAGCAAGTCCTCTCTCCCACCATCTAGCTGATGTCATGCACAGTGATTATTTTAAGAATTATGTGTGGCGGTTGTGCATATGTGGGTACAGGTAAACATAGAGTCCAAAAGAGGGCTCTGGGATAAAAATTCAGGTTCTCTGCAAGAGTGTACATGTTTCTACCTGCTGAACCATCACTCCAGCCCACAACCCATTCAGTTTTAATAAATTGTCCTCTGTTACCATCTTGGGTCTTGAGTTTTTCAAATTCTATATTCTTAACTATTTTATGGACATCTTGAAAAAATTAAGGAATCTAAACCCAACTTCTTCTTTTTTTTTCACCAAGGAAACATGCAAGACACTCTCTAGGAATCAGGGGTTACATGTATGTCCTAGAGTAAGAGCGGCAGAAGCCTTCTCTGGGTCCAAGGAGACCACAGCCATTGAGCTTCTTGACACATGAGACAACAGTTCTTATACATCATACTTATTTATGTCTCTTGCTGTCCTCCTCAGGAGTTTTAAGGTGAGAGGATCATTTTAGAAACTTAAACTGTCCCCACCACTGACCCATGGTACTTCCTTTAAAAACCACACATGGAAAGTGCTCAGAAATGCAATATTTAATGAGCTGTTCTAAATTATGAAATAAGAGCAATATGCAATTTTCTAGTTATTAGCCACATAGCCTTGACACTATACAATGATGCCAAACAAGGAACATGAGCACATGGAGACCCTGCCAAGGATAGCAACATCATTGATGCAGAGAAGTACATAGCCAGTCTGTAGATGACTCCAGTCAGAGGAACGATGAACACTCATGCTTGAAGAGCTGGAATTCAGCTACCCAGGGATAGGTTCCAACAGTGAACAGGGAAGTGAAGGTCTGAGGGAAAAGAATAAGAGAGGACAGTAAAATAAGGGGGTGAAGAAAGTTTGTGGGTTTTGCCCCAAACAGCATCTATTTCGCCCTTTCCCTTCCATAGACAAACAGGTAGTAGAAGGAGACAAGTGCCTTCAGATATGACTACCCAGTGAACCCTGGGCAAGTCTTGACCTGTGTCTGAAGCACAACGGTAACCCAAGGGTATTTGTTTCAACACCCCTCTCAGCAGACAGTGACCTCTAGAAAAATATCTAGGATGTCCTTGTGTAATTCACACACCTTACAGTAATATAGAAAGCACCCTGTCAGGATTACCCACTGTGACACTTAGCTTTAACTGTCAACCTAACACAATCTAGAATCACCTTGAAAGAGTATCTCAGTGAGTCATGACCTAGATTAGACTGGCCTGTGAGAATGTCAGTGAGATGCTTTTTGTCAAGGAATTTCATCAAAACAACAAAAATGAAACTAGAACAAGCCATCCTTAGGTTTATCCTATCAGATAATTAATGTATTAGTGAGGCCTCTAACAAGGTGTTCAAATAATGCTAGGTGGGGTTGTCTTCACAGTCAATCTTTACTTCGTCTGTTCGCCAGAGCAGGTCACAGGGCAAGTGTTGGAAGGGCTGAGAGTGGGGCTCTTCATCAACTTTCACCTTCAAACATTGTGTCAGGGTAGTACCCCAAGAGCTTCACCTGAATGTGCAAAAGTGATGTTAGAACCTATCAGGCTTCTTCTGCTGAAGACAATAGAGAAAAATGAAGATGAGACAATGGGCAACCTTTCATATACCGAGAATACAAGGTCAAAAGAGACACAAGCATTTAAAGCTACGGAGTCCAGGGAGCAGGCAGCTACAGTGAAGGAGTGGGTAGTATTGGGAGCTCAAGTTACCTAGTTTTGTACCTCTTGAGACGTCTGTCCCATCCACATTGAGGGGTCCTGAGGAACCTGGCACCTGACAATCCTCAGGTCTGTAGGCATGGATCTGTCAGCTCTTCTTGCACCCCACCCTGTCCCCCTTCAGGACCCATAGCTGTAAAAATAAAGAGGGATGGTGTCATGTATTACATTATTCAGATTATGACTCTCCTGAAAGGGGCAAGTGTCGAGGCTCTCCTCAAATTTCTTGCATGTGGTTCTACGCAGCTGAAGCCTCATGGAGAAAACAAATAGAAAAATCACCTGCAGACAGAAAAATGATTAAAATGAACAGACCCTTCTTGTCATTTAAGAGACTGTATGAGTGTGCTCAGTGTTGGAAGATACCAAGAACATCCTCCATTTGGGGCTCCCTGGGGCCTGACATCAACTCTATGAAGACAAAAGCCAGGGAGGTAGATTAACTTTAACTCTAGATTATAGAGTTAAGAACCAACAGCAGAGATTTGTTGGAAAGCAAAGAAGTCAAGGCTGAGTCCATACCATTATTTCCAGTCCCTGTAGCCTCCATTCGACCACAGGAAGATCCAGACTTGGCTCTCAGCAGACATCTGAACCTACACCCACATTCCCAGAAGACAGAGGACATTTCTTTATAGTCAACCCAAAGACATGGAGCCAGATCTCCAGATGCTTTCTCAACTGAGCTACAAGCAAAACACCTGAAGTAAAAGTACAGTCCAGAGCAATGTTTCAGGAGAAGTATTGTTCCTTTTACAGTGTGTGCTTCTGAACACCAGCTAGGGGCTGCATAGGAACCTCAGAGGCCACAGCCCTGGGCAGGGATAGCACCCCTCTGCATTCTCCATGCCAGGGAAGAGGGAATAGAATGCCCCTCTGCCATGGCCAGAAGTGCAAAGTTGGAGATGAGCATTGCCATCCTTAGTGCATTCTGTAGGGGCATTATAAGATGATGAAGAGTCTAATGTGGTCAGTGGACCCTGAGCAAAGGCCTACAAGAGGAGAAGTTGTCCAGTGCTCTCCGTGCTCCATGAATCCTCAGCACCCACCTTTTTTGTTAATCTTGTTTTACCTTCTCCATTGTTGCCAATTAACTTTTTTAATTTGTGTCTTTGACATATTTTTTTATCTTCATCTATTGGTAAGTTTTGTGTGAATCTCTTTCTTACTAAGTGCTTTTAATTGCTTAGAAGTATTTATTCTAGAGCTAGTGAGATGGTTCATCAAGTAATGGCACTTGCCACCAAGCCTGACAGCCTGAGCTCATATCCAAAATTTACATGGTGGAAGGACAGAATTGACTCCCCAATTTCTTCTCTGACCTCTGTGTGTGCCAACACACACACACACACACACACACACACACACACACACTGAATAAATGAATGAATAAAATATAATAAAAACATTTTAAAAGAAACGCCTACTCTAACATTTCTAAATAGTGTGTCAAAACAATAAGAATGGAATATTTTTATATGAGGATAAGAAATGTTTTGATTTTAAAAGAATTTGTAAGGAAAAATGTAGGTTAAACATTGAAAAAGAATGAATTAGGTTATGCGTAATTTGCAAAGAATGTGGATTGCCCTCTTCTGTCCCTCACTGAGTAGCAGATACATTTGGGCAAGACAGGCAAGACTTACCTCCTCCTGCCAGGAACTCAGGATATGTTCCAGTCTGTAGGCATATTCATCCTCACTTTTCTGGTTGAATGTGTGCACGGCAAACTCCACTGTTGGAGGAAAATAAATAGATGTGACCTTTCCTTGTTGACTTTCGGGACAGGAGTGATAACAAACTGAAAGCTCAGGAGTAGCAGCAGCATGGCACAAGGCAGAGCTTTCTTTCTCTGTGGACAGGACATGGCACCAGAACTCCACAACCACTGCTTTGTCTGTCCAACAGTTGTTTATCAAGCACAATTCCACCCCATAATCTCTTCAGCTTGGGCACAGACTCCTCCTTCTCAGCTGCTTCTCTGACTTAGACACTCTCTTCTTGCTTACTCTAAAATGGTTTTTGTTTTTGGTTTGGGTTTGGGTTTGTCTTTGGAGGTTTTGTTTGTTTGTTTGGTTGGTTAGTTGGTTGGTTGATTAGTTGGTTGGTTGGTTAGTTGGTTGGTTGGTTTTGTTTTGAGACACGCTTTGTATGTGTATCCTAGCTGTTCTGAAACTCAAGACCAAGCGGGCCTTGAACTCAGAGATGATTTGACTTGACTCTGTCTCCTGGGTGCTGGGATTAAAGGTGCCACCATGCCTGGCCTCAACAAATGGTTTTAAATCACCCCCAGTCCTGGAAAGAGGAACATGACAATGTCAAACAAGATATGCCTGACAGAATTGACAAAGGGGGAAGAGCATCCCCTCACTCAGGCCAGCCTCACGTCCTGATCTTCAATGAAACAGAGGAGCCATTATCAGGATGCTCCAGAATCAGACGGAAAAAAAAAAAAAAAAAGACATAGCCTCTTGATGTTATTGGAAGACAGTAAGACAAGTAGCAACTGAGATGGAAAGAATAAGAAAGAAGAGTGAGCTTTGTGGCTGAGAAGGCACAGCTGCTAGAGGCCCATGGAACATGCTCAAAGCCTGCCTGAATATCACTGGCCTATAAGACCTAAAGGATGAGGCAGAGAATAAAGACCACTGTCCTACATCACTTCCTTATTGTTTCATACCTTTGGTCCACTGGTCTGCACCACTGGCAGAGCAGCTAGTGATGTGGACGTGATGTGGAGATAAAGAACAGGAGGTTCAGAGTGGGACCCTGTCTCAAGGAATTGAGGTAGTGAGTGATAAGGACACCTGGTGTCTGGCTGTGGCTTCTGTGTTTCTGTGTGTACACCCACAGTCATGTATACACATACACATCATCTCTCATTGCTGACCAAGTGTATTCCAATTTTCCAAATATTCCTAATGAAAAAGTAAAGACATCAACATCCTCAACCATAGTAATGATGCCTGATCACATCTAGTGGGGAGGGCATCTGAGGAAGATGGATGGAGACTGTGATTCTAGAACTACTCAGGAAGTTATAGTAGTTGACAATATGGTGCATGCCTGTAATCCCAGTATTAGGGCAGAAGAGTCAGAAGAATTATGAGTTTATGGCTTACCCTGGGATGTCTACTGAGACTCTGTTATCAAAACACAAAACAACATCAACAAAATCAAAGATGCCGAGAAAGAAGTTACCATAGTCATCATCCCGCACACACCTACCACTGAGTCAGAAATAAAACAGAACTTGTGATGATGTCACAGTGTTCTGCTTTAGTGAGTTCAGGTGCTGAGACTGGGAAAGGGACATCAGTGCAAGTGATGACACTGACAACCTGTTGACATTCAAGCAAGTGGTCCCAAATAGCTCAAGCTGTCAGTATTTATACAACCATAAGCCTGCTCACCTGAGCAGTGATATTACTGGTTATTTTTTATGCAAAGGAATCATAACGTCAGTACTACACAAGGCCTTAAATTACAAAAAGTACCATAGGCTGTCTCTGACTCTGTTGCCTACTTTTGGATCCCTTGCCCCTAGCTGGGCTGCCTTGCCTGGCCTCAGCGGGAGTGGATGAGCTTAGTCCTGCTATGACTTGATGTGCCAGGGTGGGTTGATACCCATGAGGGGCCTTTCCTTCTCAGAGAAGGTGAGGGGGAATGAGGGAGTGTTAGGGTGGGACTGGGAGGAGAGGAGGGAGGGGGCTGTAATCAGACTGTAAAGTGATTAAATAAAGTAATTAATGGAAAAAAACCATTATGTTCCCCCAATAGTTTCCCTTCCTTCTTATCCCCTACCACTACTAATCACCTGTTGACCACCTGTTGTCAATCACTCCCAACTGTATTTTGCACTACAAAGCACAATTTCAGCAAGCCCAAAATTAATGTCTAGCCTGGCATGTCCTGTGGACATGAGCACATACCCAGCTGGCAGCAAATGTGATTACACAGTATACATGATGAAAAACAGGTGGATGATTTGTCCAGTTATCAAATAGCATCCCTCTGTCATAATACTTATTGATTACAGACAGAGACAAAGTAACTGACAAAATGAAACTAAATATTGCTATGAGTATAAACAGCATAGTAAAGGCAAGGAGAGCTTATAACACGTGCTATCTAATAATAAGCACAGTGGCCACCAACATTTGTTATAGGTCCTTGCCAAGGTGAGAGGGGTTTCCACGGACCCTGCTGTGTGGAATCCCACCGGTGAAGCACTCATAAACCGTTCCCTGAAGATGCTACATGGCCACCACCACTACAGAGAACAAAGCAAGCTTCAGCCATGTTGGGAGAGTCTCAGATATTCTTTATTTCCCAAACAATGAGAATAAGAAGGCCAAATAGGACAGAAGCCAGAGATGCCAGGTAAGTGCAATCAGCTGACCTGCTTAAAGTGCTTTACAGACTGGAAATTACCCCCACCCAATGAGCATATAAAGTACTTTCTACCTTTTGAAAAATAATATAAAATTTGTAAACTCTCTCCTTCCTGCCTCTCACTCTCTCCTGCTTTAGAGCAGGACTTGAAAGAAGGAAGTTCCATAGGTGTACACAGAGCAGCTCTAAAGAGACCACCAAGGAAAGCTACTTGGGCTGAGCCCTATGTACACAAAGCCAAGAAAGTCTTTCTGTACTCAACTGAAGTGGGAGAGTTTATGTCTCATTCCTGAATCATCTAGCCTATCATAACTAAGAGGGAACTCTAACCTTGAGTAGACAACTATTCAGAATAGTAGAAAACTTCCCCTTGCACACACATGAAGCTGTGTCTATTTCTTAGGCTTGGACAAAGGACAAGAAGAGTTAGACTACTCAGACTAACGAGCATCTGGTCAGAAATAGAAAAATCTATCCTAAATACAGCAGGAAGGAATGGGACTTCACAGAAGCCAACTACCCCCCACACACACACACACACATACCCCAGTCTAGCAGAGAAAGGAGAATATGATCAGGGTAGCAGAACCAAGACAAGATGAAATTCATTGGATACAAGGAGCCTGTACTGCACCGTGGCTGTGCTTAGGGCCTGGAGCTAAGATTTGGCAGCAAGTCGGGACCTTATAGGGTGGCCCTGGAAACTTTTTAGGAATCATGACCCATCCCAATTTCTGGGCCCTTGATTGCCTAATGAAGTCTTCTCTTTTCATGCATGGAGCTCAAATTGCATGCACAATGCTGCCAAAATTTTAGCTCTGCTTCCCTAAATGTCACTCATACAAATGAGGTCAGAGATTAATAATATTCCTCAGCTTCTGGGCTTCTGTTCCCAAGTTAATAGCTAACATCAGGTCCATTAACAAGTATTAGTCCCTTTCATTGTGTCATCCTTACTGCTGTCCTTATCTCTGCAACCAGGGTCTCAGCCTACTCACTTCTACCCTCCTAACAGGCTGCACACACCAGCCCTTCCTGTCTCTGCTTTTAGCCTCTTATTTGGTAAGAGTCACTGCTGATGTCATAGTACCGCATGCCTGTAGTGACTTCCTCCCGACCCCAGAGGCAGAGTCTTGGCTGAGCACCCAGGACCATTCTGGAAGGGCCTCACAACCTTATCTGCTTCCTTCAGTGTTCACTTCTCATTTCCCTGAACTTTTTTCTCTGTCACTTGCTTTCTGTCCCTTTAAGCTTTGTTCTGGCCTCCGATATTTTTCCTCCTCATCCTCTCAGTATTCTCAGTGATCTTCTTTTGATAGTGGACTCTAATGTGCCTTGGTAACGTGCTGTTTAATATAAACTTCACTGTCTTCACACTCCTTCATGTTGAGTGGACGCATGTATGACCACACACAGCCATTGCCTGTCCCCTTCCTGGAGTGGATCCCATTTTCTCCCTGGCTGCACCTGGTTCTAACTTTCTGTCTTTTACTGTCAGATACTGTCAACTGTGTCCCATGAGCCCTTTCCAGTCACTATCTGCTGTGTAAATGTGGTTTATTGAACTACAATCACCCTCTCTTATTTACACATTGCTGATAGCTGCTTTCAAGACAACAGGAGTAGCACTGAGTTGTTGGGAAAGAGATCCTGTGCCCCTGCCCCCAGACACAAAAATAGTTACCTTTTTATTTTTGTTTTCTACCAGAAATACTGTGTTAAATAAACACTGGTTCAGAATATGACCAGTTATAGTCAATACCTCTAACACATCAGAGTGCTTCAGTTATTCACAGTAACTACATCCTCTGGGGGTCTGTGAGCATGAGCATGCAGGCTCTTTCATGCACCTTGGTATCCACAGAAGACAGACCTTGGAACATCCTGATTCATTTCTCTTTCTTTATCCAGAAGAGAGAAGTGCTGTTTCTTCTTTTTCACCTCAGCAGATATATTACTCTTCCTATGATAAGAAAAGTGAACAGCCAAACCAGGCAATTTTCCCAGCCTTGTTGTCCTGTAGTGGGGAACATGCAAGAAAGACAGAGCTCCAAATTCTGAGGTTTATACCAGTCTGTCCTGGCCAGCCTGGACAAATTGTTAGGGTAAAAAGAAAGACTTTTTAGAGAGCTGGCAAACGAAAACGACGGAGCCTGTAACCAACAAAGACCACTTGCGTGGAGGTTTCAGGTACTGACAAATGGCTCAGCAGGTAAAAATGCTTGCTGTCAACCCTGAGGACCTTAGAACCTATGTGGTGGAAGGATAAACAGACTACCCCAAGTTATCCTCTGAGGCGTACCCAAGTATGGGTGTGTGCTCATGCACACGTCCTCTCACATAATAAGTAAAATAAATAAATAAAAACAAACAAATGTATAGGAAGTCCAAGCCAATGTATGTGGAGTCTAAAATGCCCACCAGATAGGCTGGCTGGCAGCAAGGTGGTTGGAAGCTTTCGCAGGTCTAGTCTTCTGATATCCAGGCAGAGCTACTATCTCTAGGATATTCTGAGTTCTGTGAATATGAAGGGAAAAAAATAGATTAGAAAATCTCAGGGACTCACATATTTTCAGTTTCTTTCCCAGAAATAGTTGATTCTGTGGTTAATTGTTAGGAGGGAAAAGGCGTCTTTGTAGTGGAGAAGGGGGGACATAGCAAAGGGCTACTTTCCCAGGAGATAGTTAATGAAAAGCTAGCCTCCCAGGGTGGACAGGGAGATAGAAGCAACTTTTCCTGAAGGACAGGACAAGGGAGGGTGGACAGAAAAGATAGAAGCAACTTTTCTTGGGGGACAGGATAAGGGAGGGTGGACATGGAGATAGAAGCAACTTTCCCTGAAGGACAGGACAAGGGAGGGTGGACAGGCAGAAGCAACTTTCCCAGGGACTCAAGACAAGAGAAACATTCTCTGGAGAGTAGTTTTGTGGCTTCAGATGTATCTTTTCCAATAAAGCCTGTGGGAAGCCAGCAATATATTCCACAGCTGTCTGGCCTTCAGAATGAGTAGCTTTTAAAGTCAGCTGAAAACAGGTAGCCTAGAGGGTTTACTCACAACCTCTTGCTTAACAGCTCCTTCTGACCCAAAACTTTTCAGGCCTACAGCCCTTTCTCTGTTCTCCTCCATCCACAATACACATTAACCCAAGACTTAGAAAAATATCTACATAAAATTAAAAGGGCTATCTGAACGTCACTCCCCTGGGGAGAATATGTATTTTAGTCCCAATGACATGAAGCAGGGTTCCTCCATAGTCCCATGCTCCTTATCGTTACAACCCAGGTGATCTTTTGGACAAGGTGAGAGTGAGGCATTTTTCTAGCACATATGTGACATGTGTTGGAGTTGGCTAATTTAAAATCCATCCTCTGAAAACAATTCATCTTTCAAAATAGGCCATTTATGTTGGATGAGAATGGGCATTAAGGGCCTGGAGAGAGGGTTCATTTTGTAAGTGTCTTGCCTTGCAAGCATGAAGATCCAAGTTAGTAACCCTAGCCAGGCATGGTGGCACATGCCTATGATCCTAGACATGGGGAGAGAAAGACAGGAGGATTTCTGGAGCTCACTAGCCAGCAAAGTGTTGCCAAATCAGTAAACTCTGGGATTCAGTGAGAGGCCTTGTCTCAAAAAAAACAAGGTGGAGAGTAGCAGAGGAATACAGCCCACATCAACCTCTGACTTCTGTACATATATACATACATACATACATACATACATACCTATATACATCTATACATGTGTGCTCACATAACAATAAGTACATATGCATACACCATACGCCACCCTACATATATGCAAAAAAGAAGTCCCTGGTCTATCAGGTCTCAGCAGGAGTGGCTGCATCGCCTTCTTCTGTGGCCTGCTAAGGCTGCTCCCCCCTCAGGGGGAGGTGATCAAAGAGGAGGCCAAGGACCTCCCTTTTCAGTGGGCTGGGAGAGGGACACTGATGGGGAAGAGGGAGGGTGGGATTGGAAGGGGAGGGAGATACATGGGGGATACAAAGTGAATAAAGTATAATTATTAAAAATAAAATAATTAAATATATATATTTATTTATTTGTATATATATATACATATATATATATATATATATATATATATATATATATATAGCCACTCTTCGAATCCACATCTTAAAAAGAAAAAAAAAAAAAAGAAGTCATGTCAAAGTAGAACACAGGCAGACATTGAAACAGTAAAAGTACTGAGTTTGGCTGACCCAAACACAGTATACCACCTGATGAAGATGGTGTGGTGTGGCAGAGCTCAGGGGAAGTAAATGGATGAGGCAAAAAGTGAACTGAGGGCACTGGGCCCCATATTCTGGGACTGAGGTCACTACTGTGCAGAATGGAATAATGCACGAAACACTGTTCAGGTCTGTGTGATTCTCCACTCTGAGGGTCACAGCTCATTCCTCCTACAGCACAATTTCCATGGCCTGATGCACACAGCTTAAAAGTGCCACAACTCTGTGGGCCCTGCAGGTTGGGCCCAACTGCCTGACCTTCCCCCACAGGAAATACTGGGTGATCCTGCAGTGACTCTTTAAAAAGCCAGTGGCTAGCTCTGCACGAAGACGTTAACCCTTGTCTCTCAGTGTTCTCTTTTACCAGTACACGTATCCCAGATTCTATGAGAGCTAGCAAGAACATCACCTACCTTTCTCTGTGACCAACCATAAGTCAAGACTTTCTGACAAACATTCCAAGAGCTGGCATCCCTGCCTAGTGAGGAAATCTGCCAGATGTCTATGGGCTGCTCAGATTGAAAACTGCACATCAGCAGGAAAGCGGGGAGACCGTGTGGAAGCCATAAGGTGCAGCAGAGACAGCCTGATCTCAGGGCAGGAAGCCCTGAGATGACTTCTTTTTGCATATATTTTTGACATGACTTCCTTTTTGTACATATTTAGGGTGACCTGTGCTGTATGCATGTGTATTTATTATGTGAGTACACAAGTATATATGTAGTTATGTATGGATGCATGCATGCATCCATGTGTACAGAAGTCAGAGACTGATGTGGACTTCCTCTCCTAGAGTCCCACTCCCTGTTCCCAACCTCCACAGAGCCGGGGACCAGAAACAGTGTCATTACATTTAACCCTTCAGCATAGCCAGGCATCAAGTCAAAGGAGGCAAAGGTGAATGATGTCTGCTGTCTGACCCCATCACAGGAGTCCTTGGATGTAACCTCACCCACCATACACAGACTACAGGCAGCATTAGGGAGTGTTGCTCTCCAGAAGTCATGTGTCCTCTTGATCTTCTAAGCTCCAGAAAGACTTTGGAGGCAACATAGATTATCACAGCCATCACTGTAGATGAAATACAATCTTGCTGTGCTGTGAAATATAACCAGTCTTCTGGTTGACCTCAGCAAAGCCACCCTCTCCATATTTGTTTACAGGTAGAGAATACATCACTCAACCAGGAAACCATTGGAGAATTCTTGAGCCACTAAGGACCGAACAGAACTTGGAGGCTAAGGGAACTATGATGCAAGACAGCAAGTGTTTTTCTCCATCTTCCCAAACACTTACTTAAGATTATAATAATAAAGTCTACCCTAGAAGACTCTTTTAGCCTGGTGGGCTAAGGGGGAACTGACTTTCTCAGGTGAATGATCAGAAACTGAAATGGGGGAATGGATGACAGCAAGGGTGGTGATGCAGCTGACAGGTGCTTTGCTCGTGTTCTGCTAGTTCCAGGCACGCTGTGTGAACTTGAAGAAGGGATCCCATGGAGCAACTCTGGACACTAAAAGCTATTTGTGCTTGGACCTTGGTTATGCTAGAAATAGCATCCATTTATTGGCAGCAGGTTGGAGATGATGTGAACAACTAAAGAAGGATGCCCAACTCCCAGAAAATAGCATCACTTATTCTCAGCACCAGTTCCAAAGAATTCACACAATTAATTAAGTCAGTGGGTCAGTTATAGTGGTCCATAATCTTGCAAGCATCTTTATTTTAAAGAAAAATGAGAATGACAGCGTTTTCTGGATGCTGATTAGATATCTTTGCATTGCTTCTTCAGCATTTTAAGTTCAAACTTCCATGGTTTGGATCTAACAATAAAGATGCAAAACACGTTCTAAAAGAGACAAAAAGAACAATTATTTAGGGAGCTGTGGAGAAGGCATAATAGTAAAGTGCCTGAATTTGGATCCCCAGAACCTATGCAAAAAAGCCAGACATGGCTGCACATCTGTAACCAAGCACAGGATAAACAGAGGCAGGCATATCCTGGGAATCAGTGGAAGTCAGCCCACCAGTCAGTGAGCTCGTAGAGATAACTTGTCTCCAAAGATAAGGTAAAGAATGGTTTTCATGTACATGTGCACATACATATACATTACACACATGCACACAGATGGGTACACACACACACACACACACACACACACACAGAGAGAGAGAGAGAGAGAGAGAGAGAGAGAGAGAGAGAGAGAATGAAAGAAAAGGGGAAAATCCTGTAAGTCCTTACTTCTACTTTCCAGGATTTGACTTAAGAGGACTAAGAGAGTGAATCAACCATACCCACTGCAGTGCCTACATGGGTCAACCTTAATCCTTAAGGCAGAGGAGCCAGCCATCCTCACAAAACCTGTCTGAACCGAGAAACTGCTCAGATGTTCAAACATGCCTCCAGCCACAACCCACTTTCGAGTGATCCACAGAGCCCCTCTGCTTTGCGTAGGTCCCAGTGGGTCCTTCCCCATGTAATCAATGAAATGAGAATAACACAGAGCCCTGTGCTTCTCAGAGTAGAAGTAGAAAAACTGTACAGACACCAGCAAAACAGTCTTCAGGTGGAGAACCACAGAGACGCATGACCTGGCATCGGTCTTGCAGAAGAAGTGGGGCTCCAGGCTCATGGCGGTCAATGAGCACTCTTGATTTTCTAGTCTCTCTCCTTAAAATCCACATTAACTTAGAATAAAAATGCAAAGTCTAAATACCTCTTTGACATCAATATAAATTTGAATGACAGCCTCACGCAAAAGTGAGAAAGAAATTATATCAGAATATGCATTTTAAAAAGCAAAAATAAAAACTTCAGTTTATATGAAGCTGTATCTAGGTAATCTCGACAAAGATGCTGCCCAGGCTAACTCCTAAGAGAAGGAATTAAGCAATCCTCAAGGGTCCCTGAAAGGCATGCCACCATTTTTATCCCTAGCACATTTCATGAGAATGCACTTTTAGAAAACATTCACGTACACTTATACAACACAATTCACTTATACAGCATAAATTGAAACATAAAATGTCTTTGTTTATCAGACATTAACGCTGACTCCACTGTGATGTGTTCCTGTCTAGGTACAAGGCCTGGTAACACTAGTACATAGCTAAGATGTCCCTCAAGCCTAACATGAAAGAGCAGGAAACTGAACATAGGGTTATGTGTTGGACATCCAGAGCCATTAAGGCAGCTGCACAGCCTCCAAGGGCTTCCATACAACAGCAGCAGACAAGATGAATTTTCCCTCACATTCACTGCTTCAAGGATTTCAGTGAAGCAGTCATGCCATGCTTTTCAACAGGCTCGGTCCCTCGTAGTGCAGGGCACTTGGAGCAAGGTAACTACCCAAATCGCCACTACCCAGGATTAACGGCAGGGTTTACTTATCTCTTCTTTAAGACGGTGGGGCTGCAGAGATGGCTCAGTGGGTAAAATGCTTGCTGCTCAAACATGAGACCCTGCATTCAGATGTCCAGCACTCATGTAACACTGTATAGCATCACACACCTGGAACCTCAGCACTGTGGGGACAGAGACAGGCTGATCCAGAGGGCTTCCTGGCTAGTCTGTAAACCCAAATGGCAAGTTCCATCTTCAGTGAAAGACTGTGTCTCCAAAAAGTAAAATGAAGAGCAACAGAGGAAGACACCCAGTATCAACCTCTGGCATGCATACACTCATGCACAAACACACACACACACACACACACACACACACACACAAACACACGTGTGCGCACACACACTAATAATAATAATTATTATTATTATAATAACTGAAATTAAAATTATAGATTCCCTTAGGACCACCTCTTTATGAGGAAGTGGATGAATATAGAATGTTGAATTTATGCTAGTTTGGCTGAGATGTCTGTGGCTTTAGCAAGGACAGGTCCATATGTCAGGACAGCCCTGCCGGGATGTTCACATGCCCGTCCTGAAAAAGAACAGGACAAACTTTCAATCCCTGACTTTGTACCAGAGAAGCCCCAAACAGAAGGAACGTAGCTGGCGTCGCTCCAGCTTTATCAGCCGGTCCTCTGTACTACATTTGTGACGTGTCTGACCCGCTTGTCTGGAACACCCCTGCCAGTACCATACCATAGGATCAGAGTGGGCGCCCAGAAGAAGCCTTCCAGAATGCAAAATAGCAATAGAAAAGGAATTGGTTTGGCTTTAAGCTTACTTTTATGTGTCATGTAGATACCTCTCCACATGTACTTGTGTTTGTGTGTCTCCCTGTATGTACATGTGTGTATGAACATGTATATATGGATGTGTATATCTTGTAGAATGAGGTAGGATGGTGTCAATGACAGATAATAGAAACATCTCAGGTCTGAGGTCTGGCTACCGTAGTCTCAAATAGAGCAAAGTTTAAATAAAAAGCTAGCAAATGCATCAGAACTGTGCTCTCAGTACTCTCTATCACATAGGTGAGACCAGGGCCATTTCTTTTATGTCAGCCACATACCTTTTTCATTTTAGGATCATGCTGAAACAAGCAGTTTTCGTTGTCCCCTAAAGTTTTCTTGCACATTGTTCGGGCAATTTTTACTTCAAGATAGTACTCCAGACTGTCTGTAAGCTTTAAACGAGTCATGTAAGTTAAATCTCATATAAGAAAACAGCGCCAAGTACTCCCTCTGATATGTCAATATGCCATTGGCTACTTAGGGCTAGAATATCTTTCTGCTCTTCCTCAACTACATCTCCTGGCAGAAGTTTTGAGATTATCTGAGAGAACTCTTACCTTGACCTACGTCTCACTCTTCTCTCACAATTGTTTTATTTTTATGTATTGTTGTGTATATGCATGTATATGGTAGATGTATGCGTTCATGTGGGTTGGGGCATATGTGCATGTGAGTGCCTGTGTGAGCACACCTTGAGAGAACACAGGTCAATGTGGACGTGTTGGCTCACTCTCGCTGAACCTGCCGCTCATTTGCTTTGCTAAGCTAGCTGGCAAAAGAACTTCAGGGCTCTGCTTAGCTCTGTCCCAAGTGCTGGGGTTGCAGACTTGCACGGATATTTGAGTAGATGCTATAGATCAAACTCAGGTCCTCATGTGTGTGCAGCAACCACTTTACTGAGCCATCTCCCTCTCCCCTGGGTTGTTTTTTGCTTTCAAAGCAAGAATAATATCCATTGCAAGAAGCAAGGAAATTATAAACAAAGAGTATTTTCTAGTGAAAACTAACCATTTATTTTTTGCAACTTGTGATTAGGTCATCTGTAAGAAAATAGATACTTAATTTTTTTTGAGGGTTTAGAGACTGTGCATTCACAGATTAAGGATCACATATCTAGCAGGAGTCTTCTTACTACATCCTATCATAGCGAAGTGGAGAAGGACATGAGAGAGCACAAGAAAAAAAAGAAAAGACAGGAGGTGGATTGTGCAGCTTCATATCAGTGTCCAAAGTAAGCACCAGCTAGCTTAGCAAAATCAATGAGATCCAGGTTTGGGAAGAGTCAAGAAAGAGCCAAGAAAACAGCAACATGACCTGTGGCCTCCCAGTGAACACACACACAGGCACCCACATGCACATAATGTACCTACACATATGAATATAGACATATCCATATATCTGTATGCACACAATAATAATAATTGTCAATAAATAAAGGTAAAACAGCTATGAGCGAGAAGTAAGGTAGGTACCAAAGGTAAGAATTCTCCTTGTAGCATAAACTCCTCCCCTTAGGGCCACATCTCCACACCCTCACATAAGGGATTAAATTTCCAAAGCGTTTTTTTAGGAGGATACATTGAAATGACAGCACATGTTTTTCTCAGAGGCAACTATGAGGAAGCCAGGAACTGATAGATCAAGGGAAAGAACAGAGAATTCTGCCATTGTTGGGGGCACACCGGTCCCTGTACTCACAGAGAAGCACTAAAAGAACCAGGAATGTCAGTCATGCAGAGGTGCCTCCTCAATGGAGAAGATAGAAATCAAATGACTGCATTCCATCCAGAAAGTGAGATTTTGTTAATAACCTGGTGACTTTTTGCTCTCTGTGGAGGCAGACCTCACCCGTGTTTTACTTTAGAGGAAGACCTCACCCAAATCCCTCAGAATGATTATTCCAGACTCTTCCCTTCCTAGTACTTAGAAGACATGTCTCATGTACTCTATGGCCTGCTGACCTCTAGGTTACTGATCAGAGGCCACACTAAATTCTAGACCTGTTAGCTCTAGAACCCATCCTCATGACCATATGTACTTTCTACAAAAGTTTATGTCGTCACATCCTAAGTTTTATTGTCTACCTGGAATTGGACTGATTGCTGCCTGGGAACCTTTCCCCAAACTGTGCTGCACTTTAAACATGCTGACAGCGAACTTCCTGACGTTAGACTCCCCAAAGTCTGATACAGTTTAATGAAGACAATCTAGACAGAGTTTCATTCTTACCCTTCACAGGTTCACTTCCCTGACTTGATGCCTGCAAAGACCTCTTCATACAATGATTTTGACCACTTCTGAAAGTCTAGCCTCTGCTGTACCCAGCTTTCAAAAACGTTGGAGTCTTTTTATGAGGAGGGTTCTGGTAATTGCCTCTTATTTTTTTAAATGTAGACGTTATACCTAGTGCCTGGTCGATAAATAAATAAATAAATCCACACTCGGTGAAAGAGGACTTCTTAAGCAAGACAAAAAATCCAAACAGCATACAGAAAGAAAAAAGCTAAATGCTATATTGCTATGTTTTCAATGCTCAAAAGACCCTATAAGCAAAATAAAACTACAAACACTGAATGGCAAGTATAGCCATATATACAAATATATATATATATTTATATATATATTTGTATATATATATTTATATATATAAATATATATATTTGTATATATGGCTATATATATATATAATGTGATTTATATATGTGTATATGTACATTTGTTTACTTAATTCACATGAGTAACAAATGTACCAACTAATCAATACAATACAAATAATTCATAAGAAGGAAGAACGCATAGAAGAAAATACATTGTCCTTAAACTAGAAAACACATTTTTCATGGTACTAGGAAATACAAAGGATATATTTTCACATCCATCAAACAAACAAACATCTAAAAGATAAGAGAGTTCCAATATTGGTACGATGCCAACCTATATACCAGAAGAGTTGGCACAAGCCTAAATCTATTTAGTTCACAGCCTAACTGAGGCCCTGTGCTCAATGTGCAGCACCACAAATAAAACTTTAAAAATACATTTAGTAGCATTCAGAGGCAATTTGCCATTATCTTATAGGTATACTTTCTAAATAAGTAATTCAGATTCAGAGTATTGGCCATGCTGGATGTGATGCCATGTTCATTGTCCTACTTTTTCTGTTGACATGCCTGCTGATCTGCTAGGATATAAGCAAAATAGCCATGGTACTTCAGTTTCCAAGTATGATACAAACATATATAGAGATGGAAATAGAAAGAGATAGATGATATACAGAGATATAGAGATAGACATAGATATAGATACTATTATATGGATTCTCATGACACTTTGAGTGCCAAAGTAAACAAAGTAGAAAGTATGATTTTATGAATACAAAATTCATTTGATTGAACCAGTGAGATGCCTTAGTGGGTAAAACCACCTAGTACCAAGCTGGAAAACCTGAGTTTGATTCCTAGAAACCACATGGTGGAATAAAAAAGACTGACTTCAATGATTGTTCTCTTTTTCCCTTCCCTATAACTCACATAGAAAGAAAGAAAGAGAGAGAGAGAGAAAGAAAGAAAGAAAGAAAGAAAGAAAGAAAGAAAGAAAGAAAGAAAGAAAGAAAAAGAAAGAAAATTTGAATCTTTCCACAGTGTATGTACATGGAAAAAAAAAAAAAAACATCTGGAAGGAGGGAGAAAGCTATTTTTGTGGTACTCTCAGAAGTAACCAACCAGACTGGAAATTCAAGAAACAGTTTCCTCTCATTTTTATTGTGTGTATGTGCTCATGTATATATGCGTAAGTGCGGGTACTCATGTGTGGGTATGCACGTAAAGTCTAAGATGACATCAGGCATCTTCCTCAATTACACTCTATCCTTTTTCTAATTTAATTATTTTTATTTTTATTAATTACAATTTATTCACTTTGAATCCCTCCTGTACCTCCCCCCCTTCTTCCCTCTCAATCCCACCCTCCCTCTTCCTCACCCATGACCCTCTCCCAGTCCACCAAAAAGGGAGGTCCTCCTCCCCTTCCCTCTGACCCTAGTCTATCAGGTCTCATCAGGACTGACTGCATTGTCTTCTTCTGTGCCCTGGTAAGGCTGCTCCCCCCTCTGGGGGAGGTGATCAAAGAGCCAGCCACTGAGTTCATATCAGAGACAGTCCCTGTCCCCATTACTATGGAGGCCTCTTAGATACTGAACTGCCATAGGCTACCAGCTGTGCAGGGGTTCCAGGCCATCTCCATGAGTGGTCCTTGGCTGGAGTATCAGTTTCAGGAAAGACTCCCGTGCCCAGAATTTTAGGATCTGTCACTGTCCTTGTGGAGCTTCTGTCCCTTCCAGGTCTTAGTATCTCCCACTTCTTTCATAAAACTCCCTGCACTCTGCCCAAAATTTGGCTATTAAGTCTCAACACCTGCTTCAATTCCCTGGAGGGTAGAGTCTTTTCAGAGGCCCTCTGTGGTAGGCTCCTGTCCTATTCCCTGTTTACTCCCTCCTCCAATGTCTATCCTCTTTGCCTTTCTGAATGGTGATTGAACATCTTAGCCAGAGTCCTTCTTCCTGATTAGCTTCTTTAGGTGTACATATTTTAGTATGTTTATCCTATATTATATGTCTAGTATCTCTAGATCAATACTGGCTAAGCCAGACAGACTCGGCGATCCTCCTTTGCCTCCCCTGTGGTAGGAATAGAAGCAATGCCACACCTAGCTTTTCTAAAATGAATGCTGGGCTCAAACTCAGATCCTTATACTTGCACCACATCGCTTTACTAACTGAAGCACTTCACAAGCCCGGCGTTCATTGTAACACAACTACCAGTCAGACTTCTAAAACTTTCATATATACTAAGTTAGATCAAGTTCCTCAGCCTCAGTCATACAGAAATCTTGCAGCTGGGCCTTTCTTTGTCTGGTACACTCTCTAACCATCAAACAGACAAACAACTGGTTGGTTGTTTTACGATAGTGGGTATCTTAAGCCTTAACTTACTAGGTAACAGAAGTAGCACTTCCATTCATGACAACTACAAATGCCCCGAGGCATTACCAAAAATCTCATGAATGTGAAAGCCATCCTTAGTTGAGAACTAAAACTGTGCAAAGAATGCCCACCTTCAGGCAAAGGGTGCCCACCTTCAAGAAAACCACATATTTAAAATACTGTAAGTGGAAAATGTGTGTAACAAATTAAGTCTTACAGATGCAATATAGTACCCCAAACAATTGCCTTTCCATTATCATGGGATCACTCCGAGCTGTGGCAATACCACAAGAAAATATGATACCACGTACTGGTAGCCCAACGAAGTATCCAAATTTGAAATTCCAAAGCAAGTTTTCTGTTGAACATATATTGTTTTCAAACTATAAGATATAGTAAGTGAAGTCATTATAAACTGGAGAGCACCTGTGTGCTTCTAAGTTAAAATAATTGTAAGCAATGTCAATTCTCTTAGCCACCAACCAATCATGAGCCTAATGTATATTCCTAATTGCTCAGCAAATGGGAGACAAAGGGGTTCTTGTGTACTAAGGAAGTCCCTTGCTGTTTTTCCAGACTCTTTTCTCTTACTTTGGACTGTTTACGTACCTCTCTTTTCCCTTTTGCTGAACTAGCTCTCAATATCCTGTAGTTGTATTTCCCATCCAGTCACTCAGACTCATTAAAATCTGATTAAAATCAAAAGGATCTTATGTCTTGACTCTCCTACCTACCAACTATGCAGCACCCTAAACATTTCGTGCCTCATTTTCCTCTCCATAACACATAAGAAGAGTTCCTACCTAGGAGCTGTGAAAGCTGAATGAGTGAACCATGGAAAACAAGACCAGCTGATAGACCAACCAACAGGAAGTAAATACTCTCTCTAGTTGAGCCACAGTAGTTCAAAGCTGCTGTACAAGCTTGTGAACACCAGCACTCAATACTGCACAAAACCTATAGCTGCCCCTTCTGAACTGACCTACATTTAAAATTTTGTATTTATTTTTAGTTTATGTATGTATGTTTAGTTTAGTGTTTAGCCTGTATGTGCATATGTACACCATGTACATGCCTGGGGACCACAGAAGCCAGAAAGAGATGTCAGATCCCTTATAATGAGGGTTACAAAGAGCTGCGAGCCACCATCTGGGTGATGGGAACCAAACCTGGGTTATCTGCAAGAACAGCAAGTCCTCTGAAACACAAACACATCCCTCCAGCCCCGGGCCTACACTTTTAATGTTACCATAATCATTCTAATTGACATTTTATGTTTCTTATCCATCTCAGGCTAATGAATGGGGGATACAATTAATCTTCACTTCTAAAGTGAAATGGTATACTGCATATAGAAGCATCCTTTGGCCTTGTTTCCACTCCTATGTAATCCCTTGACACTAGTCTCTGCCCTCAACAGACGAGTAGGGGATAAAGGAGCAAGGAGCAGACACTGCACCCACCTGCTCTTGAGATTTTAGAATGTCCACCACCCTGAAGCTGTACTGGTCCCTGCTGGCCTTGTTATACTCTTTCATGGCATACCAGATTGCTTGCTGCACATAGACATAGTTTTTGGGGATGTCTTCGAATGGTCTCACAATCTTAGGTGAGCCCCAGGCTTGGACTCTTCTAGACACAAGGCCCATTGTGAGCACCAGGAACAGCAGGGGCTGTAAGAATCTGGCCATGGTGTCTCATTTAAGGAAACACATATCAATTTCCTCTTCCTTTCCAGAGCTGGTGTGAGTGTAGCTGGCAAGGCTCCTGCTGCCACTGCAGGTCAATGGATCTTTTCACCTCCACTCCTGACAGTGCTGTAGGTTAAAAGGAAGAGATTTCTTTTGACACCCTTATGATACTGTACTCTAACGAGAAATACATAATTGATTATCACCCCCATTTCTGGTATTAGAACCCTAAGTATTCCCAAGTGAATACAGAAGAAGGAAGCATATACATATTCTATGGCAAACCCTTTTCAGCCATGCTCAAGTTTGCTCTAGGTGGGCTTTGTGGTAACAAAAATATGAAGTTCATTCCCAGAATCACTAACAAGGTTGGACCTTTCAATTCACTTTTGACTTTTAGGAGATCATATAGAGAGAGGTTCCTGTGTGATGGAACCTCTGTGGCACATCTCAGAATGATAAGAGGGTTTCCAGATTGGCGAAGACATGGGGGTTTGGTATAGATGAAATGAAACCCCAAGAACCACCTTTCTTGCTGTGCATAACTCTTCATCAAGCTACTCATCTGTTCTCTAATAACTGTCCATTCCAAGGCACAGGTGGAAACTTGATTGTAAGAATAGATTTAAGGTGTGAAATCTTTACCAGATAAACAGGTCATGGTTTCCTCATCACCTTTGAATGGATCAATACTCACATTTCTGGAGCAGCCTACTGTTTTCAGGAGTGACTTTGTACCTCTTTTAGTCACGTGAATTCTCCACTATGTTATGATACAGGGCAGAGGCTCCCACAAGACATGGCTCCTCAGTTGTGTACGTAGAACTACAACCCTCCGATGCACACTAATCTCTATTCTTTTCAATCTATTATATTCACATCAGCACAACAGAAAATGGAATAAGATGTCAAAACAGGCAGAGGTTGTGGAGACCTTCCTTTTGTTCAAGTTTAAAGAAGGTGTGATCTACTCCAGGGACCTTCTGCTTGTGGTTAGTATCTAAAGAGGGAGTCTTGTGAAAGCAGCTCAAACCTCTGCTGCCTCAGGCTGGTGCCAGGTTACATAGAAATCTAACTGAATCCATTTGATGCCTAGAGGTAATTAGAACATTGCTTGGAGAACCCACACATGTGGCTCCAGGGGTATTTTGTGAATTAAAACAATGTCTTCTCACTATCCGGATGCTTATCGGGCCCTGTGCCTCATGTCACTCACGCACAGCCATCCTTCCTAAAGACTGTATACTGACTGGCCCCTTTTCAAAGGAGGAAAATGAGCTTATTAAGAAGCCAATAAAGAGCATAAAGCTACTTAATGGAGGCTTCCAGGCCTAACCACTACTGGCCCCACCCTGTTAACCTACCCCATATATGCACACATTAAATCACATCCTGAATACATATTTGCTTTGGATGATATCCAATTTGACCAGACAAGATAGACTGAGTTAAAATTTCTAAGATCTGGGAAAACTAGTTAAAACATGTGAAGTATAGACAGTGAGTGAACAAATAGCTTAAGAGACTCTTCTGAATTTTTAAGAAGTAGAGTGACTGCGTTTAGGTTGGACATAGAATTTAATGACAAAACTAGGAGATACCCGACATACATTAGGCATTGGGGATGAATGTGATATACATAACCGAAGTATTTCTGAGGTCTTAGTTTGTCCATTCTCTGATAACACCATTCTTGCCCCATGTATCCTCTACATATGTAATGTCAATCAAATCATGCAGTAGGTTCTTCCAAACAGACAACTGTGCCAGGCAGATGCAGTTGAATCCATCCTATAAGTGAATGATCAAGTGTACCCTTCCACCTCACTCTGACTTGAGTTATCCACAGTGAACTATAGTCCAAAGACATTAAATGTAAAAATCCCAGAAGTAATCAAGTCATAAATATGAAATAATTCAATTGTGGAACACTATAGTTGCTCTATTTTATTGGTCCTTATTGTTTATCTTTGCACAAAATTTATGAATTAAATTTTATCATGGTATGTCTATATAAAAAAGGGCACAGTATGTATGACATTGATACTACTCACAATTCAGGCATCCACTGTGGAGGAAAAAAAATGTCCACATGTTTGGTAACCACATCACAACTACTTCCCGACCCCTCATCAGCTAGAGCATAATTCCCAATGACCTACAACATCTGACATGGATAACTAATCTCGAGAAAGACAACTTGTGCTGTAATTTTTATTACTTAAGATAATGAGGTGTACATCTATTTATGTAGATTTGAACCTCATACAAATGGGCCATAAGACCAAGTTACTGTCTCTCAACTACCATAAAATTTCTGCAACCTATCAGCCATTCATTCAACTTCCTCTCTGTGATTTTTATCTGCTACCTGAGTATAGCATATTTCATTAAATTTTCTTTCTGTTTGTGTTCTTGGTAAGTTTCTTTTTTAAATTTTTTTCTCAATTTATTATTTATTACAGTTTATTCACTTTGTATCCCAGCTGTAGCCCCCTTCCTCATTGCCTCCCAATCCCACCCTCTCCCTCCCTCTTCTCATCTCATGCTCCCTCCACTAATAGGGGAGGTCCTCCTCCCCTTCCACCTGACCCTAGCCTATCAGGTCTCATCAGCACTGGCTGCATTGTCTTCCTCTGTGGCCTGGTAAGTCTGCTCCCCCATCAGGGGGAGGTGGTCAAAGAGCCAGCCACTGAGTTCATGTCCAAGACAGCCACTGTTCCCCTTACCAATGAACCCACTTGTAGACTGAGCTGCCATGGGCTAGATCTGTGCAGGAGTTCTAAGTTATCTCCTTGCATGGTCCTGGGCTGGAGTAACAGTCTCAGAAAAGATCCCTGGGCCCAGATTTTTTTTTGTTTCTTTTACTAACTTCTACTGGCCTTGACTACTCCATCTTGAATAGCACTGACTAGTCATTTTAGAATATTTTCCCCATAAGTAAACAAAACTAGTTTATTGACACACCATTTGCCCAAATCTCTGCTGTGGTCCCATTGACTTACCATCAGAATAGAACTGGTGCAGCAGGAGGCACAGGACATGACCCCATGTTCCAGGCAACATGGCTTCACCACCTCTACCCACTTATCCCATGTCTTAAGCATGCTAACCTGCCCCATTAATCACCTTGCTTCTTATTTTGGTGTGTTAAAGGGAAATCTAAACTGACTGTTCAGTAAGTGTTTTCTAATCTCTAGATTACCTTCCTGGTCCTTAACAACCACCCTGAACACTCTACTCTGTACCATGTCTAAACCAAGTTCCCAGCCATGTTGCTGGTTTCTGGGCCTTAAAGTGACTGCTTTATCCCACAGGAAGTACCTTTGTCTGCAGTGAACATTAAGATTAAATGGTCTCTAGCCTCAGGTTTCTCTTTGCCACCAGCATACTCAGGTCAGACTCCTGCTCCAGGTTAGGCATCTGTTGGGGTTTAAGCCCCAAGTGCTTCTGGCCTCTGACTCCACTTTCCTACTAGGTGGTCATACCTGTATCCCCTTTGTGAGGTAAGTTAACCCCTCTGATGCTCCTCTAGTCAAGATACCTCACACAGGTCCCATCATCTTTTTTCTCCATTGCTCTTATGTTGTGTAACACTATGCCAGGGAGATATGAAAAAAAAAAATGTATACCATTTCAGATAGGAAACCAAAAGAAGACTAAAGTAAAAAACACTACCAAAGACCAACTTGGTGAGGCAACAAATTTTATTGGGGTTCCTTACAGAAATATAGGTGAGGGCTTACTCACAAGAGTAAAAGTAACTCAAAGACAGCTGTATAGATTTATATTGGTCTTTTTGATAATAGCTATCCTAAAAGATAGATATGAAGCAAATTATAAGGCCTTAATAAATATGTGCCAGGAGTTTTTAGTTTCTATATTGAAGAGCTATTATTGAGTGACCTAAAAGATCCATCCTTCCTGACTAGCTTTTTTGAAGAAGCTATCCACTCTTCCAGAATTGAAAAGTAATCAATAATCATATCCAGTTGTGAACCCTGCAAGTTGAGGTAATGACTGGCCTGGAAAGGTATGCCTGGTACAATAGCGGCACAAATGTTAAGGAGTAAATAATGGTTTGAGTTTGGCAAGAATGATTGGAATTGAGCCTTGGGAATACTGTATTTTGGGGGAGAAAGTGAGGTCAGCCAGGGTATACACAGACAAAAGGAATAAGTGTATACCATCACACATGAATAAAAATTGGAAATCCTACCACACCTCTGGGCTTCTCATACTTAAGCATATGATTTTGGTTTTTAATGTTTTTAGGTCACATGATTGGCAAAGCCTGATTGATCATGGAGAGGGAACATAAAGGACAAACAGGAACAATGTTGGCAAAGACTGGGCTGCCTTTTATCTTTAAAAAAAATGTGCCACATGGGGGTTTGGAGAGTTGCTGGACCAAAGAGGAGGTTTAATTAAAATTTCAGACCTGGGTGTGATAGATCACACATTGTAGTTCCAGCACTTGGGATGCTTAGGCAGGAGGGTCTGCCTGGGCTGATTGTCAAGGACAAGTAGGATGAAGACAAATTCTAGGCTGCTGTCCTATTGTACATTCCATTAGCACTTAGGAATATCAGAAATTATTATGTAGCTGCTCACTAGCATATTATCTGCCCTTCCCCATCATATAAGAATGGCTCAGTAGTGCTCCATAATTGAATACTAGCCCCTGTTCTGAACTTGTATCATTGCATCATTTGTATTACCATGTATAATCCAACAACAATGTCGTACACATGTCCTCGTACAAGCTTAATTTCTCACTCAGAAAAAAATTCCAGAAAAATATCAATCACCAAGCATACAAATTTTGCAAATGTCATCTCCAACCATGATAAAGAGTTTGTATGTGGTGGGAGTGGGGAGACAGACACACTGAGAAACAGATACAAAAAGAGAAACAAAAGCTGAGTGAAACAAAGAGATAATCCATGATTAGTTTCTGTGAATCAAACTCTGACTCAGTAAGTGAATTTGCTGTACACACAATGTGATTGGCAAATATCTCATTGCCACATGAAAGCCAACAGAGGGAGGTGAGGGGATGCAGATAAGGTAATTTAAAAGAAAGGAAGAACAGGAAGAAAATTATAAGTGGGTAGGTGGTTGGATCAAAGGCTACCTTTAAGCTGAGACAAGGTACCAAGTGGGATGGATCCATAAGTTCTCTGAGGAGGACAGCAAAGGAACTTGTCCATTGGGACCCTTTCCTATGTGTCCCACACCTCCACCTCCTGAGGCTCTGAATGTTCTCTTTGGATGGGAACAGGAGGCTGAGCTTTCCCTCCATTTCCTTTCATCTTCCCTGCCAGGTAGTATTTTTCCAAGAAGCATCATTTCCCAGTTACTAGTTCCCAGTCTCCTAAGGAATTGGCCCTGACTTTCAAATCTCCCAAGGTCTGGGTGGCAGACTCTGCAAGTGACCCTCAGGTGAGCACGCCACTGTGAGCCATGCCTCTGCTGGCCCTTCCTGACTTGCCCAAACTCTCATTAAGCAATGGCAGCAGGTGTGCGTGATGGTACTCAGATCCTTGGGATGTGTCCTTGTCACCTAGCAATTCTGCCAACATTTGCCATGTTGAGACACTGGTACAATCTGAAACGCGTTCAGCTTCATAGTTATTACATCTCCCAAATGAACCATGCTCCACACCAGCTTATGCAGTAAAGTAAGTATTTGCTGGCCCTGTTCTATATTCAATGTCAAGAACTGGTCAGGTGGACAAAAGGTGGCTCACAGGGAACCCCCTAACCAAGCATCTCTTTCCACAGGAATCTCTTGGCTTCTCCAGCTCATCAACAACACACCTAAAGATAATTTAGCATCACTTTCCAAAGGATTACTCCAGATCTTTCTTGTGTCATTGTATTTTCTAACCCATTCCAGAAGAGGACTTATTTTTAACCAACTATTCACATATATTCACTCTGGGTCATTTTGTTTTCCAGTTATCTTTTATCCAGTTTATATTATGGGGACTTGGTTCCTGCCTTTTTGTAGGGAAATTTATCTCATTCATATCTCTGTGAACACTAATGTTCTTTTAATTCATTCATAGCTAGTTATTATTTTTGCTTTGTATTTTCTGTCCCAGTAGTGGTGCTCATAGAATTGTCTCCTCCTCTAATGAACTGGATGATAGTTCTTTTATTACATTATTATATCTTAATTTTATTTTATGCTTATTGGTGTTTTGCCTACATGTACGCATGTATACCACATGTGTGCCTGGTGCCTCCAGGGGCCAAAAGAGGACATCAGATTCCCTGAAACTAGAGTTACAGGCAATTATGAGCTGCTGTGTAGGTGCGACAAATTGAACCCTGGTCCTCTGCAAAAGCAGTGCATCAGAAAGAGGGTCAAAGAAAATATACCAGGACAAAGTAACTGGTGAATGCTTTTATATACTTCTAAGACTATTCCCAGCCACACTCAAACTGAGAGGAGAGTGCATCCCCTAGAGGAGTTATAGAAGTGAATTGTATAGGAAGTTGGATAGGATCAAGCTTTTAAATTCCTGAGAATCCAATCCTTACTGAGATACAATAGAGTGAGCAGGAGGAATACCCTGACACATATCAGTTGTGTCTGTATATGTATATGTGTATGTGATGCTCCTGCACAGGAGCTGACCCTAAGGGAAAAAAAACATTTTTTGGTGAGTAGTTCACAATGTAGGAGCAAAACATGAATATGAACATGGCAAGTGTTGTATGGAAAGGATGGAGCACCGAGGCAAGGTGATAGCACAGAGTAGCAGATTTTATAGAGGAGGCTGTCTAGGCACCAAGTCACTTCTTCCTAAAGATGCTCATCTATAGCAGAAAACAAATACGAGGGAAGGTCTTCAGAGCCACTCCAGCCAGATCTGCATGATGCCAAGGGTACAGTGCACCCAGAGGAAGGCTGGTGAAGTATGCAAAGGCTTCTTTTAGCTAGGACTGGTTTTTTTTTTTTTTTCACAGAAAATATCAAGTAATTTAGAAAGCAAGGAAAAGGTACTGAGTATGGTGGAATAGTATGGTTATATTTTAAATCCACTTTATACTCTGGCTCTCTGAGAAAGAAGCTTTGCTTTTGGGACTTAATTTTCAGCACACTAACATGACCGGCAGGAACTGAGGTGGAGGGCATACTGGCTAGGGACACACAGAACCGTTTAGACTTGCTGTGACTAGGTACCTATTTCACTCACAGGTCCCAAGGACTGAAATAGAGACATTTTGGAGCCATTGTTCTGCCTTCTCAACTCACACTGATGAAGATATAAGAGAAGACATGCTGCCAGGAAAGGACCAGGAGCTGCTGTGAGCTGGAGTCTCTCTGTCAGGCTCACCCTAACACCTTACACCGTGTCCATCCCCTGCTGCTCAACAGCCAGCACTGGCCAAATGTGTCATGGGCCAAAGGTTTGCTTGCCGATACTGGAGTTTATCTATATGGATTCCTGGGACCTGTGGCTGCTTGGCAATGAGAACCATGAGACCAATCCATGAGAACAGTCCAATACCCAGTGGAAATAAATTCTAGGCACATGTCAGATGATAGGCATGGTTCATTTGTGAGACACATCATAACACACACATTTGTTGTGATTGTTGACATCAGAAGGCTATAGCAAACATAAAAACCTATTATGTAAATATTTTAAATTCACCCCAAAATACAAAAGCAGACAGAGTATAATGTGTTAAGGAATAAAAGGTATTCAAAGAAAAAACTGGTTCCTTAGGTTTATTTTTTTAACCCAGAGTCTAACCAGTACTGCAACAGGTTTCTTTCAAAGAGCAAACTGACTTCCTTTGCATTTTCCATATTTCAGGCTAGCATTTTTCTTTTGTTTTATGGTTACAGAGAGACAGGAAGTCAGAATATGGTAAGAGACTGGGGTAGAATAACTCCCTCCACTGATCCATGGGTTAGTCCCAGAGTTTGGCCTCTTAGAAGTAGCCCTTTACAGCCTCTACCACCTAGAGGCCCACAAAGACTTCTCAAAAGACCGTAACCTGGACCTGGGCTGCTCTCCACACTCTCAGGAGCTACAATCTGTCCCTAAGTCTTGGTGATCACCTGTCCTTGGTTCATTGGCAGACTATAAATCAACTGGTGCATCTAACTGCACCCACCATTAGAAGAGTAAATTTCCTCCCAAGATGCTCATGCAGGACCACCTACTGCTTTCAGCCCCATCAACCCCTTGGAACAGTCAGTCTTCATGTTCACGCAGGTAATAAATGAACAGACAGGGTTAGGTTAAGTGGTCAAGGCCTTAGGCCTTGATATTCATGGCTTCCTTCTGCCTGGGAAGAAGTATTACAATCTTTTGTCAACCTGGCAAGGTGGATAAACCCTGACTCATATTGGGTACATGGTTTCCTGAATCATTCCTAAAACTACATTTAAAATAGGTGTGTCATTAAATGTAGCATGTACTCACTTATAAGTGGATATTAGCTGGTAAGTTAAAGGATAATCACTCTATAATCTACAGACCCAGAAAAGTTAGGTAAAGAGGACAGGTCTTTAAGGGGGGAGACTCATGGCTCTCACTGGGAAAGGAAAATAGAGTAGGTTTTCGGGGGGTAGACTGGGGCAGGAAGAGATGGGAACAGGAGGAATCAGGTGGCGGAGGGAAGGAGGGAGAGAGGATGTGGAGAGACAACTGGAATAAGTAGGCATTTAGGGGGTAATATGAAAACCTAGTGTAGTGGAAACTTTCTGGAGCCTATGAGGGTGACCCTAGCAAAGAGTCCTAGTAACAGAGTCTGTGGAGCCTGAACCAGCCATCTTCTCTAACCAGGCTAGGCTCCCAGCAGTGGGACTGGGACACCAACCCAGCCACAAAGCCTTGACCCACACCTGATCTTAAACAGACCATCCTGTAATGATCAGTGTAACTAAGTAAAATCACATGTTAAAGAGACTTAGAGTCTCTCTCTCTCCTCTCTCTCTTCCTCTGTCTCTCTCCCTCTCTCTCCTTTCAATCTTGATTTTTATTTCCTTGCCTACATTTGCTTCCTGTGCTGCTCAAATGGTTGCAAGATAGAGATAAACTGGTGATGTAATTATCACACCAACAATGGATGACTTCCTATTGTATATGTCACACATGCCCTAAAAAATCACAATAGCTTTTAAATCAGATTCTATTTCCATTCTTATTTTATGTACCAAGTCCTGAAATACTCTGGATTTGAATCTCTGACCTCTGCAGACTTATTACACTGTCTTTATTGTGTCAAATCATAGTATCTGAAAACACTTAGCACTGATTGTCTAAGAAACAAAAGTCTTCTAAAGACAATAAACAATTATCTCTACAAAATAATTATGGTAGGATTGTCTGTCTTCCTTGGGACTGTGCATTGTTTGTGTTCACCAACATTGTATATTTCAGAGTTCAGATTCCATGGATAGCTTTTTTTCACTAATTTATTCACTTTACACCCTGGTGGAAGTTCCCACTCCCTCCTCTCTTCTCAGTCTCCTTTCATCAGCCTTCCCCCATTTCCAGTCCTGTTCTCCTTAGAGAGGGGGGGGGGCCTCCAATGGGTACCAACCCACCTTAGAACATCAAGTAGCAGAAGGTCTGGTGAATCCTCTCCCACTGGGGCCAGACAAGGCAGCCCAGCTACGGGAAAGGGATCCAAAGGTAGTCAACAGAATCAGAGGCAGCCCCCACTCAGTTGTTAGAGGACCCACATGAAAATCAAGCTGCACATCTGCTACATACGTGCAGGGGTTCTAGGTCCAGCCCACGCATGCTCTTTGATTGGTGGTTCAGTCTCTGTGATCCCCAATGGATCCAGTTTAGTTGACTCTGTAGATCATTTTGTAGTATCCTTGACTTCTCTGGCTCCCTCAAGCCTTCTGCTCAGTCTTCTACAAGACTCTTGGAGCTCTGCCTAATGACTGGTTATGGGTCTCTGCCTTTGTTTCCATTGGCTCCTGGGTAAAGCTTCTCAGAGGACTAGGTTCCTGTCTGTAAGCATAGTAGAGTATCATGAATAGTGTCAGTGGTTGGCTCTCTCCCATGAGATGGGTCTCAAGTTAGGCCAGTCATTTTTGGCCATTCTCTCAATCTCTGCTCCATCTTTATCCCTGCACATTTTATATTCAGGAAAAATTTGAGGTTAGGGTTTTATGGGTGGACCGGCATCCCCTCCCTCCGCCGGAAGTCCTGCTTGGCTACTTCAGGCTCCATAACTCCAGAGTCTTAGGTAGGGTTACTCCACAGACTCCCTGGAGCCTCCTCTGTCCCAGGTCTCCAGCATTTCCCAGAGATGCTCCTTGTGCTAATTTCAGTTCTCACTCCCACCCCTCCTCCCTCTGCTCTCCCAACATGTGATTCCCCCTGTACCTCCATCCCATCCAGTTTTCTCCCTCATATACCTCTATGTCTATTTTATTTCCTCTTCTAAGTGAGATTCAAGCATCCTCTCTTCGGCTCCTTTTGGTACTTAGCTTTTTGGGTCTGGGCTTGTAGCACGGTTATTCTGTATTTTATGGCTAACATCCACTTATAAGCACATACCATGCATGCCTGGGTTACCTCACTCAGAACAGTATTTTCTATTTCCATCCAGTTGCCTGAAAATATGATGATGTCCTTGCTTTTAATAGCTGAGTGGTATTCCATTCTATAAATGTACCACAATTTCTTGGTCCATTCTTTGGTTAAGGGACATTTAGATTGTTTCTGGTTTCTGGGTATTAAGAATAAAGCTCCTATGAACACAGTTGACCAAGTTTCCTTGTGGTATGGTGGTACATCTTTTGGGTATATCTTCTGAGTGGAGTGTTATAGCTGAGTCTTGAAATAGACCTGTTCCCAATTTTCTAAGAAACTGCCAAATTAATTTCCAAAGAGGTTGTACAAGTACCCACTAGAAATGAAGTTTTCTCCTTGCTCTGCATCCTCATGAGCATGTGTTGTAGCTTGAGTTTTTGACTTTAGCCTTTCTGACATGTGTAAAATGGAATAAAGTAGGAAAGCAACTTAGTTTTTACACTTGATTTTTATTTATTTTATATTTTACTGAAAAAAAATGTTTGCTTTGAAATCATTTTAGCTGAAAAATGGAAACATCTTAGAAGGAAAAAAGGAAAGAAAAACACAAAGATATAGACAGGCTGTTGTTTCACAAACTTCTCATACCTTCACTTGTTCCCTACTTTCCAAGATGAGAAAGTTTTTCAGCCGCCTACAGTAATGCTATTTATAGAAATATGTCTATTTCACAAAGAAGGCAATGAACTCTATCATGACAAATTCCATTATTGTGGTCTTGGCAATCTTCTGGGGTTTTCTCTCAGGTTTGTTTCATCTTTTAGCCAGCTGAATCTGGTTCTTTTTTAACTGCCAACATAGCTAAACAAACTGTTACCTAATCCATTATTATCTACAGGACGGCATTTTAAGAAGGCAGAGACACTTATCACAGGAATGGAATGAGACTAGAAGAAATAGAAACTGGGTATCTCTGAATTCTTTTTCAATTTTAATTTTGTTTCCTACTTTGTAAATACAGACCCTTTTCTCTGCATTTGAAACTATACTATATATATATATATATCTGTGGATATATTCCTGGGACCTGCAGCAGTGGCACATTTGGTGGGGGAGGCTCCTACCCTGCAGCCTTAGCCCCACCAGAACCCACCGGAACCAGAGGTGGCAGCTCGCTCAGCTCTGACTCCAAAGCCCTAGGCCACCCATCAGAACCCACCATCAGTGGATGCTTTCCTGGGAACATGCGGTGCTCCTACCCTACAGCCTTAGGCCAGCTACCCACCCAAACACACCATCTGTGGATACCTTCGAGGACAGGCAGCAGTGGGGCACTCAAGTTTCTGATTCCACAGCCTTAGGCCACCTACCACCCAAGCCCACTTTCTGTGGATATCTTCCTGGAACCAGAGCTGGGCAGCTCTGACCTTGGATGTTCACTTTCATGCTGCCTATGGAGTGAATACCTTCCTGTACTGAAGGTGACTCCAAACCTAGGCACCCACTCTCACAGTCCTGTGGACACCTTCTGGGCACTAGAGACTCCTGTTTCCAAACCCAGGAGATCACACTCAACATCCTGTGGACACCTTCCTGGTCGCAGCAGATAGTGGCTCTCACTCTCACCGCCCAGTGGAGGGGATACATTCTGGTACTGTGGGGGAGGTGTGGCTCCATTCTGCTTACTCCCCTCCTCCTTGGATCACCCATGTCAGAATCAGCCAGCACAGCATAGACAGTGAACACTGCAGAGCTGAGGTAGGATTGGGACCCAGGTTCCACTCCACACCACCTAAAGGAAGCCTGTGGGACACTGGAGAAGATCTAGGCAAAGAGATCTGTCTGCCAATGCCCCAGCAGCCTGGTTCATGTAGGCCAGAATCAGCGAGCTCAGAACAGAGAACCCAGTGGAGCTGAGCTAGGCACCTAACCCAAGTTCAATTGTCCTCCTCACCATGGAGGCCTGTGCGGCATTGGAGCAGCTCCAGGCTCAGAGATCTTTCTGCCTACTCCCAGCACCCTAGCCCACCTGGGTCTGAAACAATGCGGCCAGCATAGCCAGTGAACCCAGAGCTGAGCTGAGCCAAATCTGGGACCTAAATCCCATCCTCCACCTTCTTAAGGAAGCCTGTGGGACACTGGAGCAGCTCTAGACCTAGACATCTTTCCACCTGTGCCCCAGCTACTCGGATCACAAATGGTGAGCCAGCAGAGACAGTGAATTCAGGGGAGACTCGAGACTCTAGAGACAGGTAGATCTAGTCTGCAGTACAGGCTCCAAGGATAATCAGTCAAGACTACAGACAACCAGATGACAAGAATACAGGCAACAAAAATGAGGACATCATGGCTTCACCAGAATCTCCAAAAATCAATGGATATTCTATTGTAGCTGAAACACAGGAAAATGATCTTAAATCTATAATTATGTAGTTACTCAAGGCACATAAAGAGGAAATGAACAAAAGAAAATGGTCATAATGAACAGACAGGAATCAACATTCAAACAGATGAAGGAAATGGTGCAAGACATGAAAACACAATTAGAATCTATAAAGAAAACACAAACAGAGAAAACCCTGGAATTGGAGAACTAAGAGAAGAGATCAGGAACTTCAAAGGTAAGCATCACCAACAGAATACAAGAGATGGAACAGAGAATCTCAGGCGCTGAAGCTACAATTGCAGAAATTGATATATCTCTCAAAGAAAAAATAAAATCAGAAAAGTTCCAAATAAAAAACATCCAAGAAATCAAAGACAGCATGAAAAGATGGAACCCAAGAATAATAGGAATAGATGAAAAAGAAGATTCCAGGCAACAAGACCCAGGAAATATTTTTGAGAAAATTATAAAAGAAAATTTCCCCAACCTTAAGAAAGAGATGCCCATAAACATACAAGAGGCCTACAGAACACCAAATAGACTAGAATAGAAAAGAAACTCCTTTATCCACATAATAATCAAAACACTAAATTCACAGAACACGGAAAAATATTCAAAGTGGCAAGGGGAAAAGGCCAAGTAACATTTAAAGGCAAACCTATCAGAATCACACCAGACTTCTCAACAGAGACTATGAAAGCAAGAAGGGCCTGGACAGATATCATGCAGAAGCTTAGAAATCACAGATGCCAACCCAGACTACTGTACCCAGCAAAACTTTCAATTAACATTGTGGAGAAAAGAAATTACATTGCCAAACTAAATTTAAACAATATAGCAACCCAGTCCTACAGAAGATACTAGAAGAAAAACTTCAACCCAACAAGATCAACTACACCCAAGGAAACACAGGATAAAGACACCATTCCATCAAGAAAGCAAAACACACACACACACAAACAAACACACAATCAGCACCAACTCCACAATAAAAGGAACTAACAATCATTGGTCACTAATATCTATTGATAGCAATGGTCTCAACTCTCCAATAAAAAGACACAGACTAACAGATTGGTTGCAGAGATAGGATCCAACATTCTGCTGCATTCATGAAACACACCTCTGCAACAAAGATAGATACTACCTCAGAGTAAAGGGCTAGAAAAAGGTTTTCCAAGCAAAAGGAAACAAGATGCAAGCTAATAAAATAGACTTTCAACCAAAATTAATCAAAAGAGATAGAGAGGGACACTTCATTCTCATCAAAGAAAAAATCTACCAGGAGGACATCACAATCCTGAACATCTATGCACCAACCACAAGGGCTTCTTCATTTGTCAATGAAACATTATTAAAGCCTAAATCACACATTGATCCCAACACCTTAATAGTGGGAGACTTCAACACCCCACTCTTTGTCAAGGGGAAGGTCATTGAGACAGAAGCTAAATAGAGAATGACACTTACAGAGGTCTTAAATTAAATGGACCTAATATATGTCTACAGAAACTTTCACCCAAACACAAGAGTACACCTTCTTCTCAGCACCTCATGGAACCTTCTCCAAAACTGACCATATGGTCGGGCACAAAGCAAGCCCCAACAGATACAAGAAAATTATTGCATCATATCAGACCACCATGGTCTAAAACTACTAAAACTATACCTCAACAATAACAGAAATAAAAAAAAAAGCCTACACACACTTGGAAACTGAGCAACTCTCTACTCAATGACACCTGGGTCAGGGAGGAAAGACAGAAAGGCATGAGAGACTTCCTAGAACTTAATGAAAATGAAGGTACAACTTACCCTAACCTATGGGACATAATGAAAGCAGTGGTAACAGGAACGTTCATATCACTAAGTGCCATCATAAAGAAATTTGAGGGATCTCATACAAGCAACCTAATGGCACACCTGAAAGCACTAGAGTAAAAAAGAAGCAGAAACACCCAAGAGGAGTATATGGCTGGAAATAATCAAACTCAGGGCTGACATCAATATATTAGAAACAAAGAGAACAATTCAAAGAATCAACAAAACCAAGAGCTGATTCTTTGAGATCAACAAGGTAGACAAACACTTAGCCAAACTGACTAAAAAGCAGAAGGACACTGTCCAAATAAACAAAATAAATAAATAAAATAAATAGGAGAAATAAAAAGGAGGACATAACAAACACTGAGGAAATCCAAGGAATCATTAGATCCTACTTCAAAAGCCTATATGCAATGAAATTTGAAAATGTAATTAAAATGGACAATTTTCATAATAAATAGTCCTATGTCCACTGAGGAAACAGAAGCTTTCATCAAAAGTCTGCCATCCAAAAAAAGCCCAGGGCCAGATGGATTCAGCACAGAATTCTACCAGACCCTCAAAAAAGAGCTAACACCAATACTCTTCAAACTATTCCACAAAATAGAAACAAAAGGAATATTACCAACCTTATTCTATGAGGCCACAGTTACCTTGATACCTAAACTGCACACAGACCCCACTAAGAAAGAGAACTTCAGATCAATCTTGCTTATGAACATTGATGCAAAAATACTTAATAAAATACTTGCAAACCAAATCCAAGAACACATTAAAGATATCATCCATCACGACCAAGTAAGCTTCATCCTAGGCATGCATGGATGGTTCAGCATATGACAATCCATCAATGTAATCTACCATATAAACAAACTGAAAGAAAAAAAAAACACATGATCATCTTCTTAGATGCCAAAAAACATTTGACAAAATTCAACACCCATTTATTTTTTAAAGTCCTGGAGAGATCAGGGATACAAGGCACATACCTAAACATAGTAAAAGCAATATACATCAAATCTATAGCCAATATCAAACTAAATGAAGAGAAACTTAAGTCAATCCCACTGAAATCAAGGACAAGGCAAGGCTACCCACTCTCTCTGCCTCTCTTCAACATAGTTCTTGAAGTCCTGGCTAGAGCAATAAGACAACTAAAAGAGATCAAAGGAATACAAATAGGAAATGAAGAGGTCAAAGCATCACTATTTGCAGATGATATGATAGTATAACATGAGTGACCACAAAAATTCTACCAGAGAGCTCCTTGGGCTCTTGCACTTTGTACTTTAGCAAAGTGGCTGGTTACAAAATTAACTCAAAAAAAAATTCAAAGTCCTGTATACAAAAGACAAATGGGTTGAGAAAGAAATTAGGGAAACAACACTCTTCACAATGGACACAAATAACATAATGTACTCTAACCAAGTAACTGAAAAACCTATATGAAAAAAACTTCAAGTCTCTGAAGAAAGAAATTGAAGAAGATATCAGAAAATGGAAAGATCTCCCATGCTCATGGATCAATAAGATTAGCATAGTGAAAATAGCTATCCTTCCAATAGCAATCTACATACTCAATGCAATTTCCATCAAAATACTAACACAATTTTTCACAGACATTGAAAGAAAAATTCTCAATTTCATAGGGAAAAACAAAATGCCCAGAATAGCTAAAACAATCTTGTACAATAAAAGATCGTCTGGAGGTATCTCCATCTCAGATCCCAAGCTGTACTAGAGAGCAACAGCAATAAAAATGGCATGGTACTGGCATAGAAACAGACTGGTGGATCAATGGAATTGAATTGAAGACCCAGAAATAAACCCACACACCTACAGAAACTTAATTTTTGACAAAGAAGCCAAAACCATACAATGGTAAAAAGATAGCATCTTCAACAAATGGTGTTGGTCTAACTGGATGTTATAGACCCATATTTATCACCCTGCACAAAGTTAAAGTCCAACTGGATCAAAAACCTCAACATAAAATCAGACACACTAAATCTATTAGAAGAAAAAAATGGGAAAGAGCCTTGACTTCATTGGCACAGGAGACAACTACCTAAACAAAAACACAAACAGCACAGTCTCTAAGATCAACAATTGATAAATGGGACCTCATGAAACTGAAACACTTTTATAAAGCAAAGAACACTGTCATCAGAACAAAACAATAGCCTATATACTAGGAAAGGATGGATCTTCACTAACCCTACATCTGACAGAGGATTAATATCCAGACTATATAAAGAACTAAAGAATTTAAACACCAACAAACCAAGTAATCCAATAAAAAAAAATGGGGTACAGAAATAAGCAGAGAATTCTCAGCAGAGGAATATCAAATGGCAGAGAAACACCTTTTAAAGAAATGCTCAACATCCTTAGTCACTCAAGAAAAGCAAATCAAAACTTCCCTGAGATTTCACCTTACACCCATCAGAATGGCCAAGATCAAAGACTCAAGGGATTATGCATGCTGGAGAGGGTGTGGAGAACCTTCCTTCATTGCTGGTGGGAATGTAAACTTGTACAACCACTTTGGAAATCAATCTGGTGCTTTCTCAGAAAATTAAGAATAGTGCTACCTCAAGATCCAGCTATACCATTCCTAGCATATATACAATAGATGCCACACCATTCAATAAGGACATTTGCTCCACTATGTTCATAGCAGTTTTATTTGGAATGGCCAGAATCTAGAAACAACTCAGATGTCTCTCAACGAAGGAATGAATACAGAAACTGTGGTATATTTACACAATGGAATACTACTCAATTATTAAAAACAAGGAAATCATGAAAATTGCAGGCAAATGGATGGAACTAGAAAAGATCATTCTGAGTGAGGTAACCCAGAAGCAGAAAGACACAAATGATATATACTCACTTATAAGTGGATATTAGCCATATAATATAAGATAAACATATCAAAATCTATAGCCCTAAAGAAGAAGAAAGAAGAAGAAGAAGAAGAAGAAGAAGAAGAAGAAGAAGAAGAAGAA